ACTTGTACTTAACCATGCTATTGCACTTGTACTTAACCATACTGTTGCACTTGTACTTAACCATACTGTTGCACTTGTACTTAACCATACTGTTGCACTTGTACTTAACCATACTGTTGCACTTGTACTTAACCATACTGTTGCACTTGTACTTAACCATACTGTTGCACTTGTACTTAACCATACTGTTGCACTTGTACTTAACCATACTGTTGCACTTGTACTTAACCATACTGTTGCACTTGTACTTATATACCACCACCAAGAAAATACCATACATACTGTTGTACTTGTACTTATATACCACTATGTGTACATAAAGCTCATTAAGCTTACGGAACACAATGGTGTGCTCGTATGTGCAGCTATGTAACATTGTACGTACCAGACATCATTCTGGGGGTATATTACATCATTCTGGGGATAAGCTACATCATTTTCGGGGTATACTACATCATTCTGGGGGTAAGCTACATCACTTTCGGGGTTTACTACATCGTTCTGGGGGTAAGCTACATCATTTTCGGGGTATACTACAACATTCTGAGGTTACACTCAAAACAATCCACATAATCTCATGCTCATGCACAAACGACACACACACTTTTGCAGGAAGACCCTGTGCTGCGCACTTGCCCATCCTTGCAATATAATCCCATGAGTATACTAACAACATAATCCCATGAGTATACTAACAACACAACTTCATTAGTATACTAACAACATAATCCCATGAGTATACTATCAACATAATCCCATGAGTATACTATCAACATAATCCCATGAGTATACTATCAACATAATCCCACGAGTATACTATCAACATAATCCCACGAGTATACTATCAACATAATCCCATGAGTATACTATCAACATATTCCCATGAGTATACTATCAACATAATCCCATGAGTATACTATCAACATAATCCCATGAGTGTACTAACAACATAATCCCATGAGTGTACTAAACATGGGATTGCGCTCCTACGCACCCTGCAAAAACACACAGAGCACAATACCCCTAAACACACAGCCACACAAGAGCATACCACGCATGGACATGAGCATGACATCCAAACTGGTAAGCCAATGCGATCATACACACCAACGTACCTCTGTCTCGTCAAAGGCTCTGATATCCGACGGAGAGAGTGTGGCGATCAGTTTACCATCGTCGTTGACTACAGCCATGGCCTCGCACGTTTCGTCTGTGTATATCTCTCGGAAGGCGTGTAGAGTTATGTCATTGATGTTGACGGTGTGCACCTGGGGGAGGGAAGATAGCAACAGGATATGTGAGATATTGTGCAATGGCAGTTATATGACAATTACGAATGGGAACATAACAACACGACATATGATTATATGACAGTGTCGTCAATATTGAACGTATGCACCTAATTCTGCCACTGTTTCTGTATTAATGGGCCTAGAGTGTCCTATTACTACAAACACCTTCGTCCATACAACATGCACACACACACACACACACACCTAACTAGAGTGTCCTATTACCACAAACACCTTCATTCACACAACACGCACACGCACCCACACCCACCTACCTTAGTAGTGCCGACTGAGAGCTCCTTGATGGACTTGTCCAGTTCTTGGTCCAGATGCTCCTCGTTGAGGTACAGGAATCGCACCATATCGGACTGTGACAGCATGCGATAGCTCGAGGGGACCTCTTCCTGTCCTGCAGGCCAACCGAGACAGGGGCATGTGGTGTTCAGACTATATACCTATGTACACATGCACTTGTACTATGGACTACTGGTAAGTACTGATATACTTATGTACACATACACTTGTACTACTGGCAAGTACTGATATACCTATGTACACATGTACTTGTAATATGGACTACTGGCAAGTATTGATATACCTATGTACACGTACACTTGTACTATGGACTACTGGCAAGTACTTTCAAGCGGAAGTTTGATACAATGTTCAGACTATATACCTATGTACACATACACTTGTACTATGTACTACTGGCAAGTACTGATATACCTATGTACACATACACTTGTACTTCGGACTACTGGTAAGTACTGATATACTTATGTACACATACACTTGTACTACTGGCAAGTACTGATATACCTATGTACACATACACTTGTACTATGTACTACTGGCAAGTACTGATATACCTATGTACACATACACTTGTACTACGGACTACTGGCAAGTACTGATATACCTACGTACACATACACTTGTACTATGTACTACTGGCAAGTACTAATATACCTATGGACACATGCACTTGTATTATGGACTACTGGTAAGTACTTCCAAGCGAATGGATTGATACTATGTTCAGGCTATATACCTATGTACAAATGCACTTGTTATATGGACTACTGGCAAGTACTTGTATTCCTATGTACACATACACGTGTACTATGAACTTCCGGCAAGTACTTCCAAGCAGACGGATGGATACTGAGCTCGGAGGATATAGATTGAGACCATGAGTTTCTATGTCACGACTGGGAAGGTTGTATCACACAGGCAAGGCCAGTGCGAGCAAGAATCACAGTTGGACTAAACACACTCACGAATGCCCGTACACGCACCAGGCGGCTGAAACATGGGACTAACTCATGCACATCCAAGCCTAGATCCGTGTGGAGTTGGGTGGTCGACGTACACAGATGTCCTATTGGGACGCTAAGTACAGGCGTTATTGTACATAGCAACCGAAATGCTTGTGTACATATAACCCTAATTCTTGTGCACATCAACCCTAATTTTTGTGCACATAAACCCTAATTCTTGTGCACATCAGCCCTAATTTTTGTGCACAGAATCCTAAATTCCGCTAGCCATCGAATTCTCCATAGCAGGTAGACAGCCTCGCAGTTTGCTTTTCAGTGTATTGCTTTAACGCAATTCAGCAGTGTGTATATGTACTGTATACCAGACTACGGGATAAACTTCAAACACAGGTTTACTCGCTTCCACACCACTATACAAACCCGTGCGTACCCACTTTTACACCAACAGTCTGGCAATCCCTTACAACCTGTAGCATGTGTATATTAATACACACACAGACACACACGCGCGCACACACGCACACGCACACGCACACGCACACACACACATATATATATATATATATAGATATAGATATATATATATATATATATATATTATAGAGAGAGAGAGAGAGAGAGAAATAGAAATAGGTATAGATAGATACACATACCTTCGTATCGTACCAGCACCCGCTGCACGCCCACGGTGAAGGGGTCCATGACATCTGCGACTGTGTCATCGCTCTCCATGATATTCAATCCATCCAACGTCACACCCGAGCGGATCTGCTCACCCACACCAATCAACTCACTCACTTTCTTATGGGCCAGTTCAAACGCAGTGAGTTCCTGGGGCGATGGCACACCCTAAAGTGCAGGTGCAGGTGCAGGGTCAGTGTGGTGCTGATGTGCGTGTTAGGACCCACGGATATGTGATTGTCCTTGCCGATTCATACACCTTAGAACTATGCAGAGAGCACGCACCCGGCTATTTATTCTGGTCGTGACTGGCGGCTTGGATACAGATATGAGGGCCAAGATACACCCCAAAGCGCAGGTGTGGGGCAGGTGGGGTGCAGCAGTGTGGTTGCCTGGTGGCTTGAATACAGATATGAGGGCCAAAGTACACCCCAAAGTGCAGGTGTAGGGCAGGTGGGGTGCAGCAGTGTGGGTGCCTGGTGGCCTGGATACAGATATGAGGGCCAAAGTACATCCCAAAGTGCAGGTGTAGGGCAGGTAGGGTGCAACAGTGTGAGTGCGCCTGTCAGTTCCTTCGCATGCATGGCTGCTGAAGCGTATGTAGTGGAGATATACGGAGAGGATGTACCCGGTGGCAGGGTCTAGTTGTGGGTATTGGTTAGTTGACAGCAAGTATCCGGGCGAGTGTAGAGGCCACTTTGGTGCTCTAAAGTCCTTGTAATACTATAATCGAAGATACGAGCGCACTCGCAGGTCTACAGGTATATTCAAACGTACACCCTATTGCTGCATGCAGCAGTGTGTCTGGACCGATTGAAGCCTTAGAAAACATGAATGTTCGCGTCTGCGGCCCTTTATTCGAGCGACATACGGGTATGCGCACATGAACGACAAAAGTAATGACACATTCATCCTCAAACGTAGTTGACGATCAGTGGTCACCCCACCCGCACAAGAAGCGACCACAAGGGCAGGTGACTGGAGAGCACACCCACCCGTTGCCGATAGATCAGCAATGCCCAAATAAATACACAACAGAGCCATGCACACACTACACACAACAGAGCTATGCACACACTTACACGAAGGCCCATTCACCCATTAACAACTCCTAACCTGGTAATCAAAACCGTGGAATGAGAGGTACGCCAGCACGTCGAATGTGTTCACTATGCCGATAAACTGCTTCTTGGACTCGTCCCACACGGGCAATGAAAGACAGTTGCAGTCCCTTAGTGAGGTCAGCGCCTCTTTGACGGAGGAGTCGGCAGTCACCTGTGTGGGAGATGGGTTGTATGCAAGCCACGATAAGATTGAATAGATATGTCTGGTCTGAATTAACATCTCGAAGTGATGTATATCTATGTTAATGGTCTGCGGAGATGCAACTATATGCGATAGGATTTCTCGTTTGTGATATAAATATAAATACTGTGGTGGGGAGTTAAACAGTGTACCGTCCAGGTGTTTGGTCTAATCAGCATAGAATCTCAAAGACATGTATGTATTTCTTTTGATATACCCATGTATACAGTGTTGTTGATTCACGTAATTGGCGACATACATAAATAACTCATCTTAACACTGAACACGCAGAAGTCACATATACGGATATGATAAAGCGCATGGGTACATTGTAGCTTTAGAACCTGTACTTACAAACCAAATCTACAATTGTTTTCAAACCATTAGATACGCTAGAAGGCACTGTATACTTGGACAAGTGCGCCTGTCTAACAATAGTTTAATAGTCAAAGTATGAAAGTATGCATAGATACACACATTCAGACTGTTCAGCGCGATAGCGAACCACAGCTGTGGGATAAACAATAAAATAATTTTTGTTCACACTATGGCATGCATACTTATACTAGTCCCTCGGTACACACGCATCGTCTGCGACTATACTTTGTACGCATGCGACTGTAGCCCATACAGTTGGCAGATAGACTACCAACATACCCAGAAAAGATTTCTCTTATTATATACGAGCTCAGCAGCCACGTGGCTCTTCAAGAACTGACTAGACATATCTGCTTCTAATAAGTTTGTATTTAACTGTTTCCTTACTAAAGTAAAGTAATTCTGAACGTCTTAACACTCACAAACACTTGCTATATAGAGGTAGTCCTGAAGCTATTACAGAATTGTACTAGAGAGCGATTATTTTATAACATTTTAAAACTCTACAAAACCTAAACTAAATAAAAGTTGTTTGAATTTCTATTACTTTTTAGAGCGAACTTTCCATTTATTACTGGCTCCTCCCTGCCTGTCAGCCTGTGTGTAAAATCTGGTGTATTTTAAAATAAATACACAGAGAACGATAGAGAACACCTTCTTTCTATAAAATTGTAATAAAAAAACTTTTGCCAGAGACGATTCCCACTGGCTCTCTCCTCTCGCTCTCTCTCTCAGAGTGGCTACCAATTCGTTTCTGGATTTATCGTTAATATTTAATAAAAAAATTGTTTCAATTAGAACTTTAGAAGGCTATGAAATTGGATTCACTATGTGTCAACATTAAAAACGTCTACGAATATCAATACCGCGGCCCGGGGTTTCTCAACATATCTGTGATGACTGATGAGCAGTTTGTTGTTTTAGCGTTTTTTATTCAATAAAAAACGTATAGGTTTCTGAATTTTGCGTTTACGTTCAACATTTAAAATCCACCCAGAGTGTACTCTGTACAGTGTACAACTGCACACTGTACTGTGTAAATACAGTCAATTGCTGTATTTTAAATATGCTGTATTTTAAATATACTGTATCAGTCTGTGCCCAACGAATTGAATCAATTGATGTATTTATATGTATGTGATATGTAAATACTAAATAGAGTATGTATTTGGCTCTCTGCTTCCGGGAGCCGGGCCGTGTCAGACTGTCAGTCCTGACTCGGAACGGGTTGCGGCCGGATTCAGATTGTTATGATACATACATAGCACCACAGACACCGTCACACCGGTTGGCATTTCCTACTACAACTCATATCTAACAAACTTTAATAGTTCATAAATCAAATACTACAACTCGTAAACAACTTTTAATATTTCATAAGCGAACTCAAAACAGTGCAGGGGTGATAAGGGAGTGATTGAGTGCTCGTTCTGGTAACAAACGCTGATGAATATGTCCACTTCTTGGTTCATATTTGGATATAAATGTGTACTTCAATGTGTATTGTAGGAACAAAATCAGAACAGTGGACATATGCATTGTATAGGTTAGAGATTATGCCAACGTGTTGGGATATACACTGAAGATTTGCGTTGGGGCTGAGCTCAGCGACTCTGTGGAAACATAAAACTTCATAAGTGCACGAGTCATGTATTTTTATTTATTTGAATATACACAAAATATTATAAACACATTTATCATCGACCACTGTAAGGGATTTTTCTATATGATTTGTGAATTCATAACGTTTCACTACGAGTACACACACAAACACTCACTCACTATATATATATATATATATATATATATATATATATAAGCATACATACATACATACATTCATATATACACACC